TACACCAGCCAGGGCTCGACCCTAATTTTTAAAACTCTTAGTTAAAAAATGACCAGTGTGGCTCAGCTGGTTGGGCTGGCCTCAGCTGGGGCACATACAAGAGCTGACCGATCAATGTGTCTCTTACACATCAATGTGCATCTCCCTTTCCGTCTCTCTAAAAAAATAAGTAAAACCTTAAAAAAAGTGTTTAGTAAAAAGAGACATATAAATGAATGCTACCTGGATAACATAAAAACACCCCTCGAACGAGCGTGCTTGAGAGTGGAACGCTAGGAATGTCAACATTAGTGCTGGGGGCGCGGTGACCTGACCGCCGCCGGCAGCGCTGCTGTTGGGTAAACACTGATCCGGAAGGGTCAGCCCAGGCAACTCGGCGAGAGGAAGGGTTTGGAGGTGAGGCCCTGGCTGGTGTGGCTCAGTGGATCGAGCACAGGCATGAGAACCGAAAGGCTGCTGGTTCAATTCCCAGTCAGGGCACATGTCTGTCTCTCTTTCTCCTTTCCTTCTGCTGTGTCTAAAAATAAATAAATAAATAAATAAATAAATAAATAAATAAATAAAATCTTAAAAAGAAAAAAGAAAGAGGTGATAATTCTTTGCAGTCAATATGATTATACACATATAAAATCCAAGGGAATCAACTGAAAAACTATTAGAAACAGTAAGAAATCTTTAAGGTGCCTTCCAAAGATAAACTACTTAGGAATAAGCTTGGCAAATACAAGAATCCCAGTTACAACTAACACATAGACCTGGCTGGTATGGCTCAGCGGATTGAGCACCAGCCTGTGCATGGAAAGGTCACCGGTTTGAGTCCCAGTCAGGGCACATGCCTGGCTTGTGGGCCAGGTCCCCAGTTGGGGGCGTGTGAGAAGAAACCAACTGATGTTTCTCTCATGCACTGGGTGTTTCTCTCCCTCTCTTTCTCCCTTCCTTCCCCTCTCTCTAAAAATAAGTAAAAAACAATTAAAAAAAGAAACTAACATATAATTGTCAGATGGATACCCAAATTATTGGAGTGATCACTTCATTGGTTATGTAATTATCTAATCACTGTGTTGTATACCTGAAACTATTATGATATTGTATGTTAACTATAATGGAATTTTTAACTTTTTAAATAAATAACATTTTGTGTGAGTGAAATTCGATAGTGACATTTAGAAAAATACATGAAAGAAAAGTGAAGACATTTTTAAAAAAGGAGAATAATAAAATACATAAGAGGTTTATAGTCATTAAAAAGGAGACCAAGGGACCACTTCTTCATGACATGATGGTATAGGCAGACGTCCAGGAGAACCAACAGACTGATTATTAGCAACAACGAGAAGTTTCTGTAAACCGCACTACATAGTAAAATATATTATGAGGTTAAAATAGTTGGTATTGGAAAAGAAATTGATACCCTGATTAATTAAGCAAAAGAGAACCAGAAAAAAATAGCTAACATATACTGTGCATTTATTATATCCTGGGCTTTGTATTATGGTTTACTTATCTTCTTTACAACTTATGAAGTTATTATGAGTATCACCACTTTAAAGATAAATAGAATGAGGCCAAGACAGATTTCGCAGCTTGTCCAACGTCACCCAGCCAGTAAATAGCAGAGCCAGAAGCACTCTGGCTTTAGAGTCTTCGGTAATGCTGTATACGGCTCACCACAGCATCATTTGTAAACCGGGAACAACCTAGGTGTCCATCAGTAGGGGAACAGCTGCATAAAATAAGGTTCGACCAGGTGATGTAAAGAATGTGGCGGAAAGGTGGAGGAAAAAAAAGGAAGGTGGTAACATTGAAAGCTCTCAATGATATCCTAAGTAAAAAAGAATGTATATTGCATGCTTTCACTTTTAAAACATATAATTTTTAGCTGGGCTGGTGTGACTCAGTGTATTGAGTACCAGCCTGCAAAATGAAAGGTCACCAGTCCGATTTCCAGTCAGGGCACGTGCCTGAGTTTTGAGCCAGGTCCCCAGTTGGGGGTGTTGCAAGAGGCAACCAATCAAAAAAATGTATCTCTCCCACATCAGTGTTTCCCTCTTTCTTCCTCCTTTACCCTCTCTAAAAATAAATAAAATCTTTTAAAAAATATTTAAAAAGTGAACAATTTAAAAATAAACAAAATCTTCAAAAAAAGTAAAAGATACAAATTGCTATATATCATAAATATATATAAAGTCCTAGAATACACAAACTTTTTTCCCTAGAAGAGAACATGAGGAATTGTGGGGGGGTTTAGGAAGTAAAAAGGAAATTTGTTTACTGAGGCTGAGTAAATTTGTTTACTGATGCAAGCAATATAAAAATCGAAAGCTTATCTGGCTTTAAGTGGCTTTTCCTTCCCTTGTCCAGTGGGGTGGGACTTTATTTGCACATTTTCTAAGGATCCCAGTCTGCTCCTGAGACCCTCACACGGGGAAGCTGTGAGGCAGAGGTTCCTCAAGCGCTCCGGCCGGGAGAACTCTTATCAGGGCGGAAGCAGCTGCTCCGAGTTTCCCTTCTGCTCCTCGGTACTAAAAATAGCCACTGCACGTGAGGGTGAGCCCAGCAATTAGTGAAAAGAGGCTCTGGAAGCCCACTCTGCTGTCTCGGCAGCGGTCCAGGCCCTTCATCATCTTGTTCAGGGCCAGAGGGTCTTTATGATCTTCTGAAACTCCAGGAAGCTCCTTTCCCTTGAGTCCTCTCGGGCCCTCCTTTGTTAAGCAGCCTTTATCCCCTACGGCTCCGTGAAATAGGAACACCAAGGTTTCCACAGCATGGTCCATTTGAGAAGGCGTTCTGGTGAGGTCTCGGCTAGAGGTGTGGCAGGATCGCTCCAAGAAATCATGTATTTTTGCAACCAAAAGAATACTACCCAACAGACCATGTTGCGTGGGGAAGTGACATGCTCTCATCTCTATTTCCAGACAATTTCACCTGGCTGCTGAGAAAGGAATATACTGAGGACGGGTCCAAGATGACTAAGCTGGTAGCGGTGAAGGAGATGTAGTCAGATTCAAGATAAAGTTTCAAACTGGAACAGAGGACTTGCTGATGAATTAGATGGGGCATCTGAGAAAGAGAGGACTCAGAGTTGGCCTCGAGGTTTTTAGTCTAAGCAAAAAGGAGGGCACTACCATTTAATAACGTTGGGAATCACTTTGAGAAAAAATGGCTAGTGTTGGCCCGGACTGAGAATTTAGTTTTGGACGTAAGTACTGGCCAGGTATAGCAACATCCTGATACACCAAGGTTGCAAGTTTGATCCCCAGTCAGGGCACATACAAGAATCAACCAATAAATGCATAAATAAGTGAAACGACAATGTTTCTTCCCCCCTCTAGAAAATCAATAAATGAAAAAAAAAAAGTCCAAAGTGCCAGCTAACACATGGAGACCCGAGCAGGGGATGACTACACAAACCTGACTCGGGGTGAGGGAGCTGGGGCTGGAGGTAGAGCTGGGAGCCATAAGCACGCGATTGGCACGTTAGAGCCATGGGACTGGGTGAGGTCATTGAGGGAGTGAGCACAGACAGAGAGAAGTTCCTGCTGTGATCCCAGGGTGAGGTACGGATGCCGGCGGGGGGGGGGGTTGGTTTGCATTCTGACACACAGAGAGGGAGCAGACGGTGACACAGGACTATCAGGGAAGGGGTGACCTGGAAGTCAAGCCAACAGTGTTTCAGGATGGAACGCCTCAGCTATTCCTCAAACGCCGAGAGGTCAGTCAAGAAAAGAACAGAGAACTGGCAATGGGCATAGCAAGACAGGTGCTGCTGGCGGCCTTGGTCAAGAGCAGTGTTGGGCTAGAGGCAAAAGCCCAAATGCAGTGGGTCGAGGAGGAAAACAGGAGGTGAGGAAGTGATGATGGGCCCTGGCTGGTGCGTCTCAGTGGATTGAGCGCCAGTGTGAACCAAAGGGTTGCAGGTTCGATTCCCAGTCAGGGCACACCCCTGGGGTGTGGGCCAGGTCCCCAGTAGGGGGACACATGAGAAGCAACCACACATTGATGTTTTTCTCCCTCTCTTTCTCCCTCCCCTCCCCTCCCTAAAATTAATAAATAAAATCTTAAAAAAAAGAAGTGATGACGGTAAATATAGACACCTGCTTTGCATTTTGTTCTAAATCTGGTTTCCACATTAGTGGGTAGCAGCCAATGAGCACATCACAGAAATGGACTAGAAATTAGGTTTCAAAGCAGAAAAGAAACTTTCCAAAGCAAAGATTTCATTTTTCAAGAATGTACATGCTTTATAATCTAACGTGTTGTTTGGGTATCATGAAATATTCACAGTGTGTGCATCTATGTATAAAGGGGAAACTCACGGGCCTGTGAACCACACAATCGCAGTTCGATTCCCAGTCAGGGCACATGCTTGGGTTGCAGGCTGGTTCTCTGCAGGCCAGTTCCCAGCAGGGGACCCACAAAAGGCAGCCATACATTGATGTTCCTCTCCCTCTCTCCTTCCCCCCTTCCCCTCTAAAGATAAATAAATAAAATCTTTTAAAAAAAGGGGGGGGGGACTGAGGCTTGGAGAGGTCGAGTCACTTGTTCAAGGTCACACAGACAGACCGTGACTGGGTCAGGGTAGACTCAGGCAGTGTGTGCCTGGAGCCCCTATGACGGAAAAACGTGGAAGGAAGAGCCAGGGAAGACCCAGAGCACTGGCAGGGGCGGCAGGACGGGCGGCGGGCAGCAGTCGTCACTGGTGCTGCTGCCGTGTGGGCGCAGCTGCGCTAGCAGTGCCTGGCTCCTGTCCCGGTTCCACGGACTTGTCACGCCCCACCCCCAGAGGGTACTTTTTCAAAGCAGACCCTCTTTTTTGAGAACAGAGAACAGACACAAAACACACGCATCAGTTATCACGTGTCCTGGTTTAGTCAATAAAGGACCTTAAGCTCTAGAGTCTCAACTAACACAAGGTCCATCAGTTTACCAAAAACAATGAGACCGAGCAGAGAGATGTGACGCGGCACACACCGCTGATGTGCACAGTGGCCAGCACCTACCTGTGGTCGGCACTGGGCTTTGGTCCCCCATTCCACAGTCTTCGGTTCACAGCGGGAGGCGGCGGGGAGGAGGGCGGGGGCGGCGGGGAGGCGGGCAGAGGCGGGGGAGGGAGAGTGGGCAGAGGAGGCAGGTTCCTGCCATCTTTCCTGAAGCTGGTGCCTGGGTTCCCCTCCTTGTCCCCTTCTCCATCATGTTTGAACGTTCTCCGAGGTTTGGGCAGAGGGTTGATGAAGGGTTTTTGAGGGAAGCCCCTGTACACACTCTCCACGCTCTGGTCCCAGGGCTTTCTGCACGAGCTTCCCCTTCCCTCCGCAGTCTCGGGGGCGGGCTGCCTGGCTTCCAGGTCCAAGTGGTGGGACTTGAATTCTGAGCTGCTCCCACTCCCATAGCTTCTGGTTGCGGTGGGTGCCTCCATGGTCTTGTCGGGCAGGCAGTGCGGTGAATAACAAGTCCCTGGTAACTGGGGATCCAACCCTGCCAACCCATCCTTCAGAGCCTGCTCGAGTTTCTTGACCTGCTTCAGCACAGAGAGGCTGGCATTCTGAAAGCACTGCTTGCCCAGCCTCAGCTCTCGGCCTCTGCCTGAGCTCGGAGCCGGTGACCCGGCTGGCTGGCTTCGGTCTGGCCTCTGCCCTGTGTCTTGTCCCCTGACTTCCACGGCCCCTTCCTTCCTCCCGATCTCTTTGCTCTCTCCTTCCAGCCTCGTTCCATTCTGAGCCACTGCGACCCGAGTCCCCACACCTTCACCACGTCTCCTCTCCATCACGCAGGACGCCCGGTAATCCTCTTGCCCATCTGCTTTCCTGCCAGATGCAGGGGCGGGCAACTCCTTTTTCCCTTCCCATTCTGATATCTTGTCCTTTATGCTGAAGGACTTGTGCCCGGCCCCACCTTGGGCAGGAGGGCAGGGGTCCTGAGCACCGCCGAGCGGCCTCCTGCCAGCCCTGCTGGCTTCTTTAGCACCGAGACCTGAAGCTGGGTCGCTAATGATCATATGTGAGTTGAACATGTTCTGCTGAAAGCCGTCGACTCCTGACTTCAGCATCAGGTTGTTGAGGCTCTCCAGAGGGCTCCGTCGGAGGCGTGAGTCCCGATCGGTCTCTAGGAGAGGAGTGGAGGGCCTAAAAGGCTGCCTTCGACGGTCTTCCCCAGCCTCTGGGCCCTCCACCTTGACCCTGAACAAGAAAAATAAACACTGGGTGAGGGACTTATCTACTGTTCTCAGCTGGTCATAGAGATTTCCCAGAACTTAGATACAAATGTTCTGAGCTAGTTGCACATCGCAGACATTGAGACCACCATTAAAAACCACCTATTTTTCTTGGGGAGATATCATGGAGCTATTGGGTTTTGGAGTCCAGTAGACTGGGGTTTAAATCCTAATTCAACCACTGGCCAGCTCTGTGACCTTGGGCAAACTGCTTAACTTCTCTAAACCCTCATCTGTGAAAGAGGAATAATAGTAACACGCCCAGCGGGGGTGCTGTAAACAGTGCGTGAGCTAGCCTGCACGCACAGAGCACACAGCGTGCCACAAATGCACAAGAAGTGGTGGTTACTATTATTATTAGCCTTTTTCCCGTGATAAAAGTAGGAGAAAGGTCATGAGATCAAAGAGTACACAGTCTAAGTTTCCTCTGCTTGTTTAGTCAATGGATAAACCTTTATAATGGCTACTTAACAATCAAAACAATGCCATGAGTTATAAAGTGGTGCTAATTCTGGGCTTGATAAATTGTCCTGATTTGACTCAGCAGACACATGATTGGCTGCACTGGGATTAAGCCTCCTTTAGAATGTGGAGAGTGGCCTCTCCGGGAGGACAGGGTTGTTTTGTTTTGATTTTAGCTTGTTTTGGCTACTGCTGTATCCATGGCACCTACAACAACACCTGGCGGATCAGGCGGCCAATAAATCTTTGTCGTGTGAATGAACGAGTGAATCAGCAGGTGGATCCAGGTTCCATGGGTGGCCTTGAACTGCACTGTCCAAGAGAGTGGCCGCTAGCCACATGTGACTACTGCAACTGAAGTCAAATTAAATCAAAGCTTCAGGTCCTCAACTGTACCAGCCACGTGCCGATCGCTCAGCAGCCACAGGCGGCTAATAGTTACTGTACCGAATGGTGTAGAACCTTTCCACCACTCCAGAAAGTTCTGGCCTAGAATGTACACGTGGGGATGCATGTCTCCAAATGTGCTCTTAGGAGACTAGTGTCACGAGGATGTTGAGAATTACTGCGAGAGAAAGACAGAAAAACGTTTTTAAGCTAGTCTAACGAGGACGGGACTATCTGTGTCTGAAATGTGAAACTGTCTTCCACCAGCAGGGGCTATGACCGAACACAGTGACCTGGGACGTGTCGAGATTAGCAAACACGCATGGGCCAGCTTCACGGGGCACACTCTCCGAATGGGAGCGTCAGGCTGCGGAGGGGTCCTGAGACCCCAGTAAGGTTCACACAGCGGTTTCACGCACCCTGTGACTGTTGAGCTTTCTAGTCTGAGCACGAACAGTTGTTTATGTGAAGACTTCTCCCCACAGGGACACGGCACATGAGCTGTGCTGCTATTCTTGGTTGCTCAACATAAATTAAAAACTTGTGAAACTGCAAACACATTTTCATATGTTAAATATGGCTACCAAAGCCGAATTCCTTATTTCAATAAACAATTAGCACCCATAACAGAGTGCTTACAGAAAAGAAACACATTTTTCAATTGTCCTGTTACCACGGAGGACATTGGCATGAGTTCAGATTTAGTCAGAATCAGAATCAGAATCATTTTGTTGGTATTTTACTGAGAATTCAAAAGGCGGAAGTTAAAGTCCTTGCTCTCACTGTGCTAGAAGTGAAGTGAAGAGACAGGACAGACGTAAGAACACAGGTCAGGCCCCAGCCAGTGTGGCTCAGTAGGGTAGGTATCGGCTCACAAACTGAAAAGTCGCCGGTTCAATTCCCAGTCAGGGCACATGCCTGGGTTGTGGTACGGTCCCCAGTTGGGGTGCATGGGGGAGGCAACTGATGCAAGTTCTCTCTCACGTCAATGTTTCTCTCCCTCTTTGTCCCTCCCTTTTCCCCTGGAAGGAAAGGAGGAAGGGAGGGCAGGGAGGGAGGGAGGAAGAGAACCCCACAGTTCAGGTTAGTGCATGCTTGGTGACAAGTGATGATATCATATACAATTAGTATTGTACGTACTGTTAAACAAGATCGACAGCAGATAAATACATGGTTTTAGAGTCAGAAGGACCTGGGTTTGAATCTTCACTCCTTTTTTAAAAATCTTAATGTAAACACCCTATTTCCTCTGTCCAGGCTGGAAGTTTAGGAGTACGGAGGCCTAATTTATCCTGTTTGCTGTGCCCGGTACATAACAAGCTTTCATTAAATATTTATTATGTGACTAAGTGAATGAGTTAATATATGTAGTATGCCCAGAGTACACACATTATGAAGCTGGATATTAGTAAATGGCAACTAGTGTCAGTTAATGATGACAGTTATTGTCCAGGGTCCCCAACATCCGGCAGGACCTCACAGCCACAGAGGCCCCACCGGCAGACTGAAGAGCAGGGACGCCTCGCCGGAAGGCCACGCTGGACTAACAGAGCCCAGGCAACAGAAGTGAGGATGATGAAACCAAGGGCAGAGAGCCTTCTTCCGTAGCTGCTGCTCCCAAGAACTTCTCGAGAGCCTGTTCCCAGGACTCCATGGCCCCAGGAGGGGCTCTATAGCTGCGAACAGCTCCGTGACGGCCAGCTGCTTTGCAGGACGTGAGAGGGAGTGCCAGAGAAACATCTGGGGAGAAAATGATCCTGCTAATACAAGACGGGTAGAGAAGGCTATGTGGACAGATGCAGCCGCAGAGTCAGGGATCACTGATAATTACAATACCTATGCATTCTAGGAGTTAGAAAAACAAGCCCTGGACTGGAATGCATAAATGGGGACACTGCCTGCAGTGGCCCTGGGATCATCCCCTCAATGCACTGGGTGCTGGTCAGACCCTCCCTTGACCACTCTGGTCTCAGGTTGACAACTGAGCGCCGCACATGGAGACGATGTGCAGCGGGCTCAGCCCAGTGCGTCGGGGAAGAGCACCGCCTCAGTGCGAGGAAGTGGGGTTAGTGAGCAGGGAAGGGCAGGGGAGAAAGAAGGGGACCGAGAATCCGGGCCACGCTCTTCACTCTCGGGGAAGGAGGCTCTTACCTGTCAGCCAGTCTGTAGCTCAGGTTCTCAGTCTGGCTGTGGCTGCCCTTGGCCGGCCCGCACACGGTCATCGTGTCAGCATGAGGAGGAGGTCCAAGTCGCCTGGGGGAACAGGGATCACACTCGGTGAGCCACACCCCAAACTACTTGCCCCCGATGGATTCTACCCAGGAGTGCAGGGGGACAGGGATGCGCCATGCAGAATCCCTGACCCAGGAGGGGGACGAGGGCACAGAATCCTGAGGTCCACCCGGATTCAGACCCCACGCCAAACCTCTCCTCACGCGTGCGTGCACGTGTGTGTACAGATACAAGAAAACACACAGCCTCAGAAAGCAAAACAAACACTAGTACAACCTGATACTTCTTCAGCCTCTGTAAGAACCTGTGATGAACTGAGAGCCCTCGAAGAAGGGGAGAGTTGCTGCTACTTTATCTGCAAAAAGAAATAAACTGCCCACCACAGTGTGAATATCCTCACAGAAGCCACCTACTCTCCCGCTGGCCCTGAGGGCAGGCAGGTGGACCCCACACTGCCCTTGGCTTGGGAGTCCCGCACAGAGAGCCCCTCCCAGTGGCTCCAAACCCAAGACGAGGGACCAGCTAGCCACTAGTTCATCTGTCACGACTAACGAAAACTAGGAGTTGGTGCTGGCAAACGCAGGAATCGCCCTGGGCATCCCACAGCCGACAGATGACTGGGAGGGGACCAAAGCAGCAGCCTCGGCACGGCAGTAGCAGTTTTATAAGGCACCCTTGGGCGCCCGACATCTAAATGGACTGAGGTAGCTGATTAAGAAGTATTCTTTCAGCCTGACCAGTGTGGCTCAGTTGGTCGGGCATCATCCTGCAAAGAGACTCGTCGCCGGTTTGATTCCTGGTCAGGGTGGGATAGGGGAGGCTGCCAATGGATGTTTCTCTATCACACAGATGTTTCACTTCCTCTGTTTCTCCCTCCCCTCTCCTCTCTGTAAAAATAAATATGGTCTTAAAATGAAGAGTTATTCTTTCAACGGCAAGTCCCTACAGTAATCCATGTCTCTTGACAGGAGGACGAACTGAGCTGCAGAGGTGGGCGTGGCTAGGGAGAGGAGATGGTTGGAGAATGGGAAGCACGTAAAACACGCACGCCGCAGGGCCGGTCCCTCCCGAGGGAGAGGACGTAGCTGCTTGACTACAAGTTCGAGGAACACGGAGATACCACCGGAGATTCACGGTCCTTTTCCACTGAACCTCCAGGGGATCCCTCTCCCACCCCGCCTCACGTTTCCCAGAGCCCCACCCCCACTGCCAAGATGGCTCCGCGGCCAGGTGGCAAGGTGGCTGTCCAAGGTCCTGGCCTGGGCATCCCTTTCCCCCAAGAACTCAAAGCATTGGGCTTCAACCCATGCATGTAACTCTCCGGAACAAAGAGAGGAAAGTCGGAGGGAGAAAAAGAAAAAGAGAATGAACACGAGGGAGAAAAAGAAAAAGCAACAACCTCAGAAGAGGAACGTGTGCCTGCTTTGGCAGCACATATACTAAAAAAAGGGAGGTTAGGGACCAGTGAGCTAAAAAAAAAAAACACAAAGAGAACAGATAGGTCCCAGAAACTGTGTGCCTGGACGGGACGGAGCTCAGGCCTGCCCATGGGCTCAGCTGTCCCCTGGCCCAGCGAGGCAGCGCCCTGCACTTGGGGCAGGTCAGTGCTGAGAGCAAGCCCAGTTCTTTCGAGAAGCCAGGCCCCAGGGCTCTCCCGTCCCCTAATGCAGCCGAGCCCTGAAAGGCCTTTCAGGGACAGGAAGGAACTCGCCACCCCTCTCACAATGCTCCACAAAGCTCCGGGGGCCTCTCCATCTGGCTGGGCTGGCAGACACTGCTCTTCTGTCCTACATCTGGCAGAGGGCCCACCGGAGGTCAGGGACAGTGGCCACTCCCTGCCGCCCACCCGCCTCGCGTCCGCACTGTCCCCACGCAGACCAAACCCACTGGGACACAGCCCCGTCCCATGTGCACACCACTCTCCCCACCCATGCGCTTCTTCTGGGCCGGCGTCCTCTTTCACCAGGCCCTGCTCAGGATGTTCTGGGGAGGCAAGAGGAGGAAGACACGGTCTCTGCCCTCAGGGGCAGCACTTGGGATGATGCCCGGGTCACAATCAGTCTTGCCATCCAGCTCTCTCCCCAAGGGGACAGTTGTCCTGTAATTCCCAGGAAGCCAGAACTTTCCCAAAAGGGACAAAGCCCACTGTCTCCAATGTACAGAGAACCTCATATGCACTTTGAGGTTAAAGATCAAGAAACACTTAAAGAGCACTATGTCTGTCTGCTGTGCTGTACACCTGAAACTAACATATAGTGTTGAGTGTAAATTATAATAAGAAAATAAATAATAGCCTTGGCTGGTGCAGTGGATTGAGCGTGGGTTGCAAACCAAAGGGTCCCCAGTTTGATTCCCAGTCAGGGAACATGCCTGGGTTGCGGGCCACGTCTCCAATAAGGGGCATGCAAGAGGCAACTACACACTGATGTTTCTCTCCCTCTTTTTCACCTTCCCTTCCCCTCTCCCTAAAAATAAATAAATAAAATCTTTTTAAAAAAGAAAATAACAACACATAGAAAACAATTAAACATGGCACTTAAGTAAACTTGCTTTCCATGGGGCAGTAACACTGCCGGTAAAAGCACGGTCTGCAGAGGAAGAGCTGATACCACATTCTGAGGAGCAGGTTCAGCGGGACTCAGGAGCCGAGGGAGCACAGAAGCCCGGAAATCGGCCCACCAGCTGTTCTGAATTCACAGAGGGATGGAGAATGCTTCTCCCACAAAGCTTTGCCCCCCCCTTTGTCTCTGATGTTAAAAGTCATTAATTAGATGGCAAGCCTAGCTTAATCTGCTAGTTAGGAGCGCTCTGTGACTCAAACTACCAGGATAAACTTCGATGTCACTTCACAGGTCTAGGGTTGCAGGACAGAACTCTTTCCTGACAGTGTGACCTCCTTCCTGTTACCTCCGGTGGGGTTTCTACGGTGGCAACAGGGGAGGTGATGTGCGGTGTACAGAAATGCTGCCGTCAAAGTCCCCTCTGAAAAGAAGCTCAGACGTTAGCGCTTTAGAGACTGCTAGAAAGCCCGTCCGAACACGTTTCAGCCATGGGGAAGGGGCGCGACTTTCCCCAAATCTTTAAACAAAGACAGTGATTCAAATAAAAAGTGAAATCTGGAAAGGATGATATTTAAAAACGTGGATTTTTAAAATGTGGTATGCCCACATAATGGAATATTATTCAGCCATAAAAAGGAAAGAATACTATTTCATGCTACAACACAGATGACCTTGGAAATACAGTGGGTGAAAAAGCCAGACACAAAAGGCCACGTATCATGTGATTCCATCTATCTGAAACATCCAGAACAGACAAACCCACAGAGGGAGGGGGAATCGGGACTGACCGCTAAGAGGCAGGGTTTCTTTAGGGGATGGCAGAGATGTCCTGGAATGAAGACTCTGCTGAGAGCTGTACAACACAGTGACTGCACTGTGAGTCACCGAATAGCCCACTCCCACATGCTGAACTGTGTGTCAATTAAATCTCAATTAAAAATACATTTACAAACACATTCAGTAAAAGATCAGAAATTTAGGCGGGGGAGAAGATGGAGTAAGAAATAAAACATATACAGTTGTTACAATTTTCCACTGCCCTTCACTACTCTAAGGTTAGTATGTTAGTTCTGAAATACATTATGTATGCATATAATTTGATTCATAAAACGGCCATACTTGAAATACTGAGTGAAAAATATAATGTGGATCATGATTATACACTAATTAAATTTCTAGTGACTTTTATTTTCTGGCAAATAAAGCTACAAACCATTCATTTAATAATTCTAAGAACTCTTAGCTTATCAGCTTTTAAAGAGCAGACAACAAAGCTGAGGATAAAGCATAATTACAGTAGAACAAAAATAGTGATTCTCTCAACTGAGCATTCCCATCAGCAAGCATATCTGGGTGTTCGTTTTCGGACAATGCACCAAGGAGGGAAACCACGTGTGGCCATGTAACACAGCCCTTGCTGTGTCTGCCTGCTCCTTCCACGAGGCCCACTGCCGAGCCTTTTGGTGCCTCCCCTTTATCACCTCCTTCAAATAAAAGAGCTTCTCAAAAAAATTTAAGGAATTGCTTTTTTTTTTTTTACTTAATAGCTTCATTTTTTAATTTTGTAGTGTTTTCAGTAACAACCCAACCTTTTCACACGGGAAGAAGAGGGAGGACTCGGAGCAGGTGAGGAACCAGAGAAGCCAAAGCCCACGTGCTGCTTCAGAACCACACCCAGGGGACCACGTGTGGCGAGATGGAAGCCACACTCTGGGACCAAATCCTTAAGCCATGTCTGCAGGAAAAGGCCACACACCACGACTGGGTACCAGCTCCTCCTCGGGGCGCCAGACCGGGTAGACAGCGGCAGAGGCAAGGATACGCCTTTCCTGCTAACCGCCAGCACCAGTCTTCTCACTTCTAGTTCCCCCCACAAATGAGTGCTCAAGAAGCGCCTGCTGAATGAATGCACACATACCGCTTTCTTATACCTCATGTCCATCGACAGATGAATGAATAAAGAAGCTGGTCAAGCCACACGGTGGAATGTCTCTCAGCCATAAAAAGGAGTGAAGGCAGACACACACTGCGACATGGAAGAAGCTTGAAAACATCACACAAGTGAAAGAAGCCAGTGGAAAAAGGGGAGTGTAGTCCACTGTAATCCATTTCCATAATGTGTCCAGAATGGGCAAATCCAGAAAGCAGACTCATGGTTGTCAGGGGCCTGGGGAGTGGGAACGAGCAGTGACCAATAGTATGAATGGGTTTTCCGGGGAAGGGAGGGGAGTGATGAAAATGTTTCAAAATTACATAGTGGTGATGGTTGCACAAAACAGTGACTAAGCTAAAAAATAAACATACACCACACTAAAGTATAAAGTATGTATACTTTAAAAGGGTGAATGTTATGGTATGTGAATTACATCTCATTAAAGCTGTTATTTAAAAAAGGGGTCCTGGCCCCACCGCAGACCACGTTTACTTTCCTGCCCCCGGCACCGTTACTCAGCACAGGGA